TTGGCAGTGCAATTCACGCAGCATGCGGTACCTCTCTTATTACAGCTTTTAGCTTCGTGGGCCCCGGCGCAGTGACCACATCGAGGATTGTTCTTGCAGTCTTTAGCAATATGGCCGAATTGACAGCACTTGTAGCACTGAACAAGCGAAACGTGATCGTCATAACGGCACGAAGACCATCCAATACTAATTCTAGGGCGCTGACGCAGGGCAATCCTCACAGCAGGTTTGACCTCGATCACACAGGATCTCGCCTTTTTTCCATCGCGTATTGGGTACAGGTAAATAACTTTAACGTCAGCGGTAGTAAAGCCATTGAGGTTCTGGTCCAGTATTGAATCGACAATATCCTCTTCTTTCAGTTCACAAGGAATATCATGCAAAATCATCCTCGGGTTAAGCTTTAGGTCAGGCTTGATCTCAAGTCCGGCCTCAGCGAGAGAAGTACACTCAGCGATCGCCGAGGCCTCCAACGAGTCACTTTCTATGATCACTGAACTCTCGGGCCCATAAAGCATCCGTTGCACGTCAAATTTCATGCTTCTAGGGTTTATAGTGCGCAAAATAGCCTCCTTCGTATCCTTCGACGAAGGAAAGTCGGGGCGGCGGCTCTCACTCGCGAGTGTTAACCGTTTAGCTTTCTTGGCCGCGAAAAATTTGCCGGTCCCCAGTGAAACTCTCTGCGATGCCAAAGCAGCGGACGTGGAACGAGCCGAACGAGACAAGACATCAGCGAAAGAGAGACCACGTACATGGGGTAGGACACCACCAGACATCGACTCTGCTGTCTTCTCGATACGTTGACAAGTGCTTTCAACTACCGTATTGCATGATTCGACCACCCGTTCCTCATGAAGCTTACACATATTGGGGCTAGTAATAGAAGTAATCGCTTCGCAGAAAGAATTGACGGCTGACCGGATGGTTTTCTTCAAGTTAGTATCCTTCTCATTGCAAAGACGCTCAAGCAGTATATCGCGATCATCGTTAACGCGCTTCAAAAGCTTGTTTACATCGTCAGCAGTCAGAAGCAGAGACAGTGAGTCGCCGTTCCCAGGGGAATCATCGCAGCGTGGCCTTTTACGCGTCTTATCGCTCGAAGGCACCTCATCATTGTCCGAATCCATCGTCGGCCAATCAGAGCTCGAGCGCTCCCACTGTTGTGGTCGCGTCGGCACCAAGCGATCCGAGGAACAACCGCCACAGACTGAGAGGCACGCGCACTCAACAAAATGGTCCAGAACAATTAAAGTACACAAACACTCGGCCAAATACACAACAGCAACGGGATCAGCACAAAAAAATGCACACAGGAGTCATACTCAAAATAACTGTAGGCACCATCACAGCGAAAAATGTCGCAAAGAATACGGAGCCACTAGAGGTACGTGTACACACTCAGCCGCCATGAGCTAGAGGGGGAAAGGGGAGAAAGGGGGGAGAGGCTGAGAAAACGGCGCGCGCTGGTCAAGAAGTCAGTCACTGTACATCAGTGTGAGAGAGTACCTCGGCTGTTCACGGAGCTAAGTACTATCTAACGTGGTCGAATAACCTCACGGCTTGCTCCTAACAAGGAGCTGACCTCCAACTACGCTTACCTTGCGGACGGGGTATCCTTGTCTCCGCCTATTACAGGAGCTGTTCCCTAGTCGACCACGAGCTGTTCCCTAGTCGATCACGAGCTGTTCTCTAGTCGACCACGAGCTGTACTCTTACCCGGAGCTGCTGATCCACGACGTCACAGGTATTTAGTGCCTCAAGGCGAATTGTGCCGCGACCTGAGCGTAATATGCGCTAATTTACCTAGCCTTAGTAATTACATCAGTGTTTTACATAAGCAATTGCGAGTTGCGTCACGCAAAAGCGGTTTGTGCCGCTGTATGTGTGTGTGTGGCATTGTGTGTGGACTTGCGGTGAACTGCGTACAATTATCTGCGTGTGCGTTGCCTGTCGTTTCTTTGAATTGGAACGAAATTTCCAGTGTTACTCCAAGAGCGTGTGCATCTGTCTAACGTGCGAGTTAGGGTTTTGATTCCTTTGTACACTGTTGTGCGTGCATTTGTCTAACCTATAATTTTCCTTACAAGCGTAGCGTGCTTGCTGGTCAATTAAGTTGAAATCTGTTATTGTGTGTTGTTTGCTCGGGCATATGTGAAGCGGCGTTCACTTAATGTTAACCACCATTGTCCTCGCTTGAGTAATTAGAAAATATATTTCAGATACATTTAAACTTTGTTATCTTAATACATCCCGACATCATTATTAGTACTTAATCTTCCAGGTTCCAGGTATTTAAAATTGGAAGTTAACCAACTGTATAAATAAACAAATGAACGAGCATGAACAAACAGAAGATTAATGGAACCCCAGTGGAAATTTGAAAACGTAACAAAATGTTAGAAAAAGTGAACATATGTGTAATAATATGCCGTAACCCGCAAGAAAATGTAAGAAAATATAAGGAACTGTAATAGTCTCATGAATTTCGGACGTTTCTTACACTTTATTATGTTGTGTAACGTTTTTTTACATTTTCTTACGTTTTAATATGATTTACCACATGCTGTTTTACTTATACTTTTTCATAATAGTTACTCAAGTTTTTTTCATTTAAGGAAAATTTTATTCGAAAATGTAAGGAAATGTGTCTAAAAGTTATCAATGATAATAAAATATNCTTACACTTTATTATGTTGTGTTACGGTTTCTTACATTTTCTTACGTTTTAATATGATTTACCACATGCTGTTACACTTATACTTTTTCATAATAGTTTCTCAAGTTTTTTTTCTTTAAGGCAAATTTTATTCGAAAATGTAAGGAAATGTGTCTAAAAGTTATCAATGATAATAAAATATTAAAAAGTGTAATAAGCTGCAAAAAACTGTAAGCTGTTATAAAACATTACAGATGACAACACTTCCTTACAGTTAATTAGAGTTTACTACAGTTGCTTTTTCACGAGATTCAAGTGTCTTTTTAGAATTATAATAAACTGTAACGAATAGTGAGCCAATGTGTTGGGTTGTAGTTGACTATAATCAAACGTAACAAACTGTAACTGTGGTCCGAAATCCAACCAAACTGTACATTACATCACAGAAAGTTACGGTTTGCTATGTTTTTTCACACTAACTTTTTCCGTTTGGGAAGCGCGTGTGTGTGCCATACACATTCATGCGTATGAGCTTGTGTGTGTCAGGTGTCGAAGGTTATATACCTATATATGTATTCCAACATCAGGGCCTGGCCATGCCCTTTCAATAAACTTATTACAATACTGGCCAGGGTCTGGTCGTCTGGTGTTGAGCTACGTACGGCCGTCTATAGTAGTCATTTCTTGTCGGGCTGTGCCTCTACGACCTGCAACCGCGGGTGCGTTTTGTAAGCTCCAGCAGTTAATCTTCAAGTATCTCGGTATCCTGAATGACATTGAAGTACAAGGGGAAAAGTATGACATGTTATCTCTCTCACACTCATAAGTTATCGAAAAATTATCTAAATACTTAGATTAAACGGCCAGTGCTTATGGAACGCACCCCTCACAGTCCCCACTCCGTAAGTGTGCGAGAGAGAAAGACTCACTGCTCTCGTCTTTTCTCTCTATCTACGTAAGCCTCACTACTCACTGCCCCAGCTGCTAATAAGCAATCTATTCTTTAGATTTGTTCACCTTACAATCCAGGGACGGTCGGGGACAGTCTGGGCGAGTCGGACACGAAAGTGAACAAGTGCTCTTCTCCGATCGTCCCCGATCGTCCCTGAACGTACACGATGCGCAGTTGTACATGTTAGGTTGCATGCATTGTAATCTTGCCGCAAATGGCACTTTCACGCAACAACTTTTTATTTTCTATCGATTGGAGTAAGTTGCGGCTGGTCACTAAAAAAATCGTATGGCAAAACTATAATTACCACCTAACTTCTTATCATAATGAAATATGACCGAGATATTTCGGATCTCTATGAATCATAAGGTTCCTCGATTCTGGTAAATGTGGCGGCTGGTTAAAATTTAGACCACCCTTTGGCCTCAGCTCTTGGTGTAAGGCCCTTTATAAGGCCCCAATAACCCAATAATCCTTACAGGAAGGGTTAAGGGTGCAGTCCCATGGTACAAAATACAGCTCCGCAATAGAAACAGCCAATCAGAGCTATTGCGGACGTTCGAGCTATTGCGGACGATCGAGCTGTTGCGGGTTGCGAACGTTTTTATATTTTAGCATGCAACTGTCAGAAAGCTTTGAGGTTATGTGAGGTATCACTTTACTAAGAGAATGAAACCAAACCAAAAGTTTGAACAAATCTAAACTAAAATGAGTGGAGTTCCTAACAACAATGCAGAATTATGTAAAAACGTAAGTTTTATTTTTTTTGCCTTAATTTTGTATAACCTATTTTCGTGTAGTTCACTTAAGTTGTCATTTTAGTATTATAAATGCAAGCATTGTAATTGCATGCTTCCCAAAGAAAATGTCAGATATTTCACACTAAGCTCCAAAACATATCAACAAAAACAAACAATCACCGTTGATCAGCTGGTTATGTTATTCTATTTCGGAGAGACAAAGTTCGCTATGGTCACATGTGCAGGAACGACCGATGCGTAACTCATTTACGCTCGTGAGTACAAGTGAGAAAGAGATACTTCGAACCACTCACGGGCCTACATGGGTTACTCATCGGTATTTCCTGCACATGGGACCATTTCGAACTTTGCCTCTCCGAAATAGAAACTTCCGCAATAGCTTTGATTGGCTGTTTCTTTTGCGGACAGTCTATTGCGGAGCTCTATTTCATACCATGGGACTGCACCCTAAGAGTCTCGGTCTCGGTTCTCGGTCCTTTCGGTCGGAGCTCGGAGCGTCGGAGCAGGGAGCTCGGAGCAGAACAAGTGTTTGGCTTGTTCGGCTTTTAAAATCGGAAGCACCCTGGATCGAAAAGCCGAACAAATCTATAGTCACATTTACTTATATACTGTTGTTTACTGTATACTCCGTGTACAAGTATACAATTATACCTATACTATCATAATTATCGTTTGCAGTTGTATGGTGTTGTTTTCTCTTTTCCGTGAGGTTATGCGCACATTAATAAAATGAGTTTGAGCAAAGTAACTATGAAAATTGGCAAAAGACCGTAAGTTGTAATTAATTACTGTACACGCTACTCTAGTTTGCTTATACTTTAATTTTCAAACGTAAATTAAGTTATGTGGCTTTGGCTTCCAATGTAAACAACACAACCATCATGGCTTGCACGGACTCTTTGTCCCGATACTCTCGAAATCAGATCTGTTCCCTTTACTGTGGACACAGTTTTGATCAATTATCATTTAATTTACCCACTATTTAGTTGTTTTCATGAAACAAATTTTTATATCTACCCTTTGCTAAATTTACGTTGTGATTTACCATTAAATTTAGTAACATGCTATCTGTAAATATACTACTGAATCATTTGTAAACACATCGCGCCCAGCGCATTTTCCCTATTTCGACTCCCGCACAACTACTTGTGTATTTAGTAGTCAGTCATGGATGATGATAGGATTCGACGGTTAAGCATCTTATCTGTCGACTTTTGTTCCCCACAATAAAAATTAACATTTGTATTTTAGTAATCCTTATCCGCCTGAAAAAATTCGTTGCCAAAAATGTTTGGAAATGGGTCATTGGAGTTATGAGTGTAAAGGGAAAAGGAAATATCTCCATCGCACGTCACGAACAACTCAGTTAAAAAAAGCTCTTGATGCTAAAGATAATGATCTGTAAATATACTTTTTACTCTTACTGTATTTTATGTTCAGGTGAAATGCATTGAAAAAATTAATACTGTTTCAAGCTGGTAATATTAATTTTTTTTGTTGTATTTACAAGAGTTATTCCATCATTAAATCATTTACTGCTGTTATCGTTTGCCTCTTAAATTACAAGTCAAATTTTGAAAATTCTTAGTTCATTATATCAAGTGTATATTCGTTGTATTAATGTATACATAATTAAATGAAAGAAATACTGATAAAAAATCTTGATTAACCATCTTATTCAGTTCTAAGTGACTAAGTGTAAGAAATATTTTATATTAACCCTTTACTACTAAAGCAACATTATTTGCAAGCCATCCACTTACAAAACCGTTTAAAGATAAAATCCAGAATTTTGCATAGTCTTAGCAATTAATTATAAATTTTGGTACAGATGCTTCAGTAACACTCTATGCTCATAGTATGATTCTTTCTGTGAAGAAAAAAAATAGTTTTATAAATTAAAAATTGATAACTACACTAAAGCTTAAAATAATTGTTTTATACCAGTAGCAAAGGGTAAATATTTTGTAATAACAATATATGTATCTAATCACGACCAAAATTTTGTTGTACAGTGCAGAAAATGAAGTTGTTACTGAAGAAAAAGTTGCCAAGAAAAAGTCTAAAATCGATGTCAGCTCGGACAGCGCAAGTAGTAGTTCCAGTGACAGCAGTAGCAGCAGCAGCAGCAGCTCTAGCAGCAGTTCCTCGGATAGTGAATCAGATTCAAGTGACAGTGTGTCTAGTAGTACAACAAGCAGCAGTAGCTCAAGTAGTAGCAGCAGTAATGCTTCTAGCAAGAAGTCTAAAAAGCCTAGTCAAACAAAAAAAAAGAAAAAAAAATCATACAGCTAGTAGCGAAAGTCTTTTTTTTTTTTTTAATCATATTTTGTAACTTGTTCTATCGAACATCTACATTTGTATGTGGTTATATTATTATGTAAAATTTACCTTTATTGTTTATAAAACATTTCTTGTTTGTACTCTCAGCAGATTATCGATTTCAAATTTACCTTTAAACACCAAGAACTTAGATTTCAACCAAAATTGAAGAGTATAAAAAAAGTAAAAAAAATAGGTTTTACAGTACATTTTATAACAGGCATTACACAACTTGAAACAAAAAAATTATCGTGTAGTTGATTCGTTCATTTTATTACGTTAACATGACACCGTATAATTTTGTTGACATTTGAAAAATTCAATTGTAAATGTCAAGATTTATACTATTGATTTGATAAAATAATTTTGAAAGTCAGTTTCAGTATTAAAAATGTTTTTTATTAGCAATAAAGTTATCTACAAAAAAAGTATGTTTCTTTTTCTTCAACAATCACAATATACAAAATGTTGTGTCATGAAATGCAATTTGTACATCAAAGAAAAATAATCCTACAGCCTGTATTTTTTTAAAATAAATTTTACGGTATCGTCTATGATTTCTATTCCATGCTTCAGAAACAAAATTGATGAACATGTAAGAAAACCACAGTTTATGATACTGATGCGTGTATAAAGTTGTTTTATAAAAAATTAGATTGCACCAGCAGACCTAAGTTTCCGGTACACTTTAAGATGGGTAAAAAAATTTTTTTTTTAACGAGCCAAATGTTTAATCTTCATCAACAGTAGGCAATGTTTGAATGATAACCTTTCTTTTCGAATCATATATGAAATTGTTTGCCTTGAACAAATTGCTTTTGTAGAAGGATGCTAAATTAAAAACTTTAAACTGTTTTGCCTGAAAAAAAAGTGAATATTACGGATCAAATCAAAACCAAGGTTATAATTTATTTCCAACATACCCTTTCCAACAAATCTTTTTCGTGAATTTCAACAGAACTTATGTGGCCTCTGTTCATTGATTTTTGGAATGATAATGCATCCAACGTGAGACCTCGTAATGCAAAGTAAAGCAACTCGTTATGATCTTTCTCGTATGTCAAGTATTTTTGGAATGACTGTAGCAAGAGACATTTTTTCATTAATATTGAAATAAAAATTTATAATTTTTTAACTGCCACAAATTTTAAGGAACTGATTACAAATATTTACATTTCGCATCTGCTTCATGACATTGTACTTTTGAGTTTCAACAAAACTCTCAAGTCCCATTTGAATGGCAATGTTCATGTCCTCTTCTCTAATGTATTCACGAAGATGCATTTTTGCATTAGCTTCTGCCATTCTTATGATACTTTCTATGTGCCGAATTGTGATTGGAAGACTTCCAGTTACCTTAATTGAAATAAAAAATCATTTTGAGCTAAGTTACAGTAGAATTAAAATATTTCAAGGTAATACATCAATACTTACAACACTTTCTGCTCTCAACTGACTGTATAACTTAGCGATTTTATCTTCATCTACGTTACTTAACTTTGGACGTACATTTTGCCTTGCATAAACAATATATTTTTTCAAGATATCTTGATCCAACGGCTCAAACTGATTCGGATCTTTTTCTGCCGTATCTTCTAGCTGCGATGGGACGATTCTTTCGGAATTGGTTGGGTGATGTCTGATGTGTGAATTAACAACAAAATTAGCTAAATGCCTATCTTGCATTGGATCTACTTCATCTTTGACAATACATAAAATATCGAAACGAGATATAATTGGATCAGTCAATTCAACCTAAAGTTAAAAATTAATGTATTTTATTAAAAGCTTTGAACAAGTGAAGAAAGACAAATACTATATCACTGCTTGATAGTTACGTTTTGAGAAAACGTCATACTAGGATCGTATCTACCACCAATTGGATTTGATGCAGCAATCACGGCACACCTGGCATTCAAGGATGTAACGATACCAGCTTTGGAAATTGAAATACTCTGCTGTTCCATAGCCTCGTGAATGGACGTTCGATCTTGATCATTCATCTGTAAAATTCATTGTACTCAAAGTCTTGAAAATCTATGAATTTAGATTGTTATATAAATTATTCGTTTACTTTGTCAAATTCATCAATGAGGCATACTCCGTGGTCAGCAATAACCAAGGCACCGGCTTCCAGGGTCCACTCCTGGGTCATGGGTGATCGTCTGACGTAAGCCGTGAGACCAACAGCAGAAGCACCTTGGCCAGTCGTGAAAACCGCTTTTGGCGCAATTTTTTCGGTATATTTGAGAAATTGTGACTTTGCCGTGCCAGGATCACCGCAAATCAAAATGTTGATATCACCTCTCACTTTGTGTTTCATACCTAAAGCAATTTTAATAGTAGTGAAATTCTGATCAAGGAGGTGATGGGTGTGACTGTTATTTGAATGCATTACCTGGATTTTTAGCAACTCCACCAAATATCGAGAGAGCTATTGCTCTTTTGATAAATTTATGTCCATAGATGGACGGTGCGATACTTGCAACAATGCGTTCAGCTATGTGCGGATCTTTACTTAGCTTTATAATATTATTAACATCCTCTTCCGTCAAGGAATCCACGATTTCTTTGGCATCTTTGACATGTATGTGATTAGCTAGAAGAACTGTGTTAAATACAGGAAATCCCTAGAGGAACGTGAATTTTATTGATCAATAAAATGAACATATCTTTCAATGCAGTGCAACGTTAATATGATTTGTTGGTAGTAAGTCTAAGAAAATCAATCACCTCTTCTCTGTTCAAATAGCCATCAAAATTGATATTAAAAATAGCGGTAAGGTCTATTTCATCACCAGGCTTGCAACGATCTACAAGATCAGATAAAAGAATACAGTCCTTGCTTCTTGGTATTCTACCAGCAGGAATTCTTCCTGGTGATTCTTGTATTGTGATCCTTTGATAATTCCTATATATTGTTTGTTCCATATTGATCTGCCAGGATGAAAAATTGTTTCTAATTCTATTGCAAAGGGAAAGCTGGTTATTTTCGAAGTTAGTAGCTCACCATGAATGGACCACTGCTCTGGCATTCTGGACATTTGTTGGGTGTGATTTCTTCACTTTGGGTTTGCGTGAATGGACCTAAGATGTACCCACATTTGCTACAATCATACTTGACAATGGACAATTGAGGAAGAACCCCGGTCGTTGCTGTGACAACTCCGATTGTTCTTACTAATTGGCTTAAATGCAGCTTTCTGAAAAATGTTTTTCAAGGGTCAGTATTTCGGACGGTAGAGTTAATCTGATGGAGAAAATGTTTTCTTTACCGGAATGTTCTTAGTTCTTCAATTAGAGGCAATTCAGATATTCTCACGTGGATTTCAGAGGTCACTCTCTCATAACTGGGAAAAATAGTTAAAACAAAATTTTTGGCTACTTCGTCAAATATTTCTAGCATTTGAAACGGAGCCTCTGGCAAAAAGTATGCGAGCACGTGTTCTTTACTCGCGAGAACTGGAAACTCGACTATAAAGCTAGACTAAGATGATAAATAATTTTCATAATAATTTGGATTACACTCAATGCATAAATTGTTCATGGCCAGAAGTACAATAATACGTACTTGATTACTCTCACACATGTGACGAATACGTTCCTTGTATATATATTGTCCTTTGGGATTCGTGTACGTTCTCAAAAAACTTTTAAACCTGTTGGCAATTTCATTTCTAGGTGCGAGCATAGTTACCCAATCTTTGATGTCATGACCCTTTGTATCCTCCAAGTTTTCAATAGATTCAATCATCTAAGAAACATATGAATTGTTAAAGTACTCAGAAAAGAAGAAAAATTACTTGAAAAATAGTTTGAGAGCATACATCTGTATCTTCCATCTCGCCAGCAGCAGCCTTTTCGGCTAAGCGACGTTTCCGGGATAGACCTTCATCATCTTCGTCATCTATATGGCAAGAAATATTTGAAAAATCAAGATAAGTTGATTGGAAGAACGTGTTTTTAATTTATTTAATTCGAAATTAGTGAAGGGTACAATAGAGATACAAGTAAAAACTGCCCAAATTTACCGTATAAGAGATCTCGATCATCTTTTAAGATGCCAGCAGCACGATCTCTTTTGCGCATAGCAGCTTCAGCAGCAGCGCGCTCTCCTTGAGAAAGCTCAGAGTAGTCTTCATCATCGTCAACGAGCTCAGGATCATATCTATCAAGAGCTGACATGGGTCGATAGTCGCTGTGAAAAAATTAAGAAATCACGACCATATTAGTTCCACTCAAGCCTGTAGGAACGTTTATTTAAATCAGTCAAAAACAGAAAAAAACTTTGACTTACTTTTCCATGTTATCGCCAAACAACTCCTCCCCATCCTGCTCTTCCTCCATGGCATCATTATCGTCGTCACCAAGAAGATTGCTCTCGTCATCAAAAGGCTCATCAAAATCTGGAGCAGGTGATGTGAGAGCATCGCGACGTGACTGCCTTGGAGAACTCTGCAATTATAATTCATTATAAAACTAGAGTGTGATTTGGAATGTTACATTCACGTATAAATCATTCTCCAAAGGTCAGTCAACAACGTATCAAAAGAAAGAACTGCCATAAGAAATACATTGACACTCACCATTGTTGAAGGCTATCTATAATATAGATATAATTATTAGTACGAGAAGAACAAAGCACAAGATCCTGGACCTTAAACCCGAAAAAGTATCAACAAAATAAACAAGTGTCGAATTCTTCTGTACTCTCACACCTGCTGCGACAACGAAGGAAATAAAACAACATAAACAGCTACCGGCTGGAAAAATAATTTTGCATAAGCTTTCAAATCAATCTTAGTTATTTTCACTTATTATTTAAACGCAAGGAGAACCCTGCTTATTTTGACACAATTATTAGCACTAATCCGTTAGATTTGTTTTAGGGACAATGTCAATCGCACGTTTACTTTGCCGCGGATAAACGGAATAAGTACGTGTATCATTGTGTCAATGTATGCATGAAAAAGCGCGGGTTTACGATTCAAGCCGCTACAGGAACAGGACGCTAAGGCCCATCACACGAATAAATAGTAAACAGTGTACTACCGTACATAAGAACGAGTGGTCTATATTTCTTATATGTCTATGGCTTTGCCATTATGAAAACAACAATGAAGCCAATCTATGTATTCGAGGTGATAGTGGTAATACTCGTAGGACAGGTTTTAGTATGCGTTATTGCCGCTTCATGCCTTTATAAATTATAAAATGGCGCTAAATTGGCGCTTTTTTTTTTAACAAGTCAAATGAAACAGGTTTTAGTTGTAACTTTGGCCACTTCATTTGTTTAAGTATAGGCCATTCGGCGCTAGTAGCCGCGTCTCACCTCGAATTTATGCATACATGTGAGCTGTGTTTCCCTCTCCACTGCTTCTCTTACTGCGCGGTCCCCAAAATGGCGTCTAGACATTTCTGACAGTCTTGGCCATAGACATAAAAGACGTATAGACTGCTCATTTTTATGTATGGCACTGAAGACTGAAGCACAGCATTGAGCATGGGTATCTGTCTCTCTTGCACATTGCCAACGGTGGGAGTTAGTAAACTAAGGCCCCGTTTACATGGAGATCGTACCATGTGCCGCGTAACTATTTGAGCCTATGAGAGTAAGAGAGATTCGCGTATTTTACCTCTCTCTCGCTCTTATGGGCTCAAACAGGTACGCGTTACGCTCTCCATTTGACCGCGGCCTAAGTCCGGCTAAAGCAACCTCCCCCTACCGTTGGCAATGTGAGAGACAGATACCCACGCTCCATGCTGTGTCTTTTTCTACTTGTGCATCAACGCCGTACAAAAGAACGAGTATTCTATACTTCTTATGTGTCGTCTATGGCCTCGGCTCGTATCCTGCAACCTGCAGCCAATCAGCCAATCAGCGAGTGAGCGTCCTCAAAATTTGAAAGGCTTGGAGTCGTTGGACTGCGGATATACCAGAACTTATCAAACAACAACAACGGTTTGTGTTTGGATTTGCATTGTGGTGCGCGGGTGAGCCGGCAGGTACATAACGGCATCGAGATCGGTCATCAGTCATCATTCACCATCTTTTTGGCAATCGGTGTTATCAGTGTTATCACTCAGCAGCAAGTAGGCCACGACAGGTGCAGCATAACGCATAGCTCGTCTTATATCAATAAAATTTTGAGACTTGTAGCAAGTATGAGTCCTCTCTAAGATAAACGACGGAAAAATCCGTTAGAGTGGAGGATTCACGAGCTGCCAAAACGACGTGCGGTTGGTGTGATATTCCTTTGCCAAAAGCGGTAGTGAAAAAGAGAAAATACATTACCTAGCAGTAGAGTGAGAAAAATTACGTTAAAATGCCTAAAGCCCCGACTTCTGTCAGTCGTCGGCGAGAGCCGAGTTCCAGGAGCACTGGATTGCAGGACGATCAGCTCAAGATAGCCACTACGATAACGGCTATCCGGTGAGTGGACACTCATCTTTGTTTTTACTTCTCCAACCACATCCATGACTCATAAAGTTTGCACCCACCTTTATAAATTATATCCACGTCTTTTACTAAGTTACCTAGTCGAAAAACTTGGTCAGACAGCATCACAGTAATTTTTATGTTTTCATATCCGTCGCGCGGTTTGTTGATAATATATACACATTTATCCATACACCCATATTTTTTACATTTTTTAATTGATATATTATGCACACAGGAAAATTATTTTTTTAATTAAGAATAACAAGTTCGACAAGATGTGCCTGGGGCAACAGAAGCCGACTCGTTAAACATGTTACGTCAATTTTGATTCCCTCTCTCACGCGTCATGGTTCAGAAGAGCCTTTGCAACAGGTGTTTCCATCCTACATCATGCAACTTCCGTTGTGCAGTCCTTTTCCAAACTCTCCAACTCCCATGAATGATGAAAAAGTCACCTATTAAGTAAATTTATTTCTCATTTTTGACCTACCTTACATTTCGAATTTAAAGTCATGTGTTTATCTTAGAACTTGCTTGCAATTTTATAATTTTAATAACAAATTTATCAACGGGACTGTATTAAATACTTTTTGTGTATGGGTGTAAAGCCCAATCATATTAGTTCATTTAAAGTAGAGTGTTTTCAACTATTTTTAAGCCACATCTCTACCAATTTTATTGTTACTGCTGATGGACTGATGAAGTTTAAAATATTTTGTGTGGATAATTTTTTAAGCGAGAAAAAATTATTTAAGCGAGAAAAAATTATTTGAAATAAGTCAATTAAGTTTTTATAGTGTTTATATTATTTTAAATTAAACTTTACAGAGAAAACACAATACAAAATGTTGTGTCAGTGTGCCAAAAACAAATCAATGTACTGTTTAATATTTGGGAAGAAACTGGTATTAAACATGAAGTATTGGGTACATATGCTGATCAAGTAACAAATCATGTAGTTGTAAGTATCAATATTAGTTAACAAATATTTGATAAATGTAGGTCTTAGAATTATGTTTTTTTAAGGGCTTGATGAAAGATATGGTGGATGAATCTGATCAGAGAAAAAAAGATCTTTTGAAGAATGTCAAAATCTTAGCTCAGTCTGCTAGAAAGCTTTCTAAAGTAAGTATGCAAAACATTTCATCAAACTATATATTTTGATATTTTTTTATTGATGAGAAATTTTTTGATACCTAATTTTAGGAATTGGGAACAAATTTTGAAACAGAAGCATACAGTGATTTGCCTCTTATTGAAATGGAAGATAAACTTAACAATGAAGTTTTACATCTTCAAAAGTTGAAAGATAAACGTAAAGATTATATTCAAGAATTGGAGAAAAAAGTAAGATTTTTTTTTTTCAATTCAACTCCAATAGCACTTACCATAACATTTGTTACTTCACTTATTTACAAAGTGGAAGAAATAAGAGTTACACTAAAGTAAACTATTTACAGGAAATTGAACTTTGTAAAAAAATGGGAACAAATCCAAATGGATTTGCTCGTGATTTTTTTTCTGAAGAAGAGATTCACAAATTTGAAAACCACTTGAATTCACAAGAGTCTGAAATGGTAGGTTGAGCTAGTTATGAGAATGAAATGTAACAGTTTGAAATTTGTATAATGGCTTATTATTTATAGAATCGTTTGTCAGAAGTATTTGAAGATACCAAGAGATCCATACTAAAAATGATGGAAAAACTTGAAATCGTCCCTGTGAATGATTTTGAGAGTTTGGTTTGTCACAATCATAGTAATTTTATTTACACATCGAATAATATGACCAAGTTGAGAGATTTGCGCGAAAGATTAAAGAATCAAGTTAAAGATGCAAAAATGCAAGTTGAAGAAAAGACCGTAACCTTAATAGCATTATGGGATTATCTAGATGAACCGGAAGAAAAACGCAAAGCATTTTTAATGAAAAACTCTGGATACAGTATTGTCACTTTAAATTCTGTAAGTAACTGATTATTGTATAGGTTTGCAAGTAATTAATATGATGACAACTTCGCATCTTATATATATTCTAGTATGATACCGAAATAAAAAGATGTAGGGAAAAAATAAGCGAGAATGTCGCAAATTATGTTCAAAATATCCGGAAAGAGATTGAAAATTTATGGAAATTGTGCAGATATGGTGAGTTACAAAAGAAATCATTTACTGCCATGAAGTGTCAAACATATACAGAAGATCTGCTTTTGCTCCATGAAATGGAGGCTGAAAAGCTTCGTAAATACTACAATACCAACAGGTATTTAAAATATCATTGTCCATAATGTATTTCCAATTAATAATACATACATACCAACTTTTTGAAACCAAAATTTTAGGAAAATATTTGAACTTCTGACCGAGTGGGAAGTTCAGTTTGAAAAACTGAAAGAACTTGATCAGCGGGCCAACGATCCTGATCGTTATCATAATAGAGGTGGACAATTATTGTTGGAAGAAAAGGAACGTAAGGCCGCCGAAAAGGTAACGTGAAATTATTAAAATTATTTACAATTTCTTTTTTTACTATTTTTATGGGGTGCAGTTACTTCAAAAAAGTTCGTTATGCATCTATCACAGCGAAAAGTGTAAGATGAATGAAATGTTGACTCTGTGCAAAACAAATTTTAAATAAGTATAACATGAAAGTGATCTAACTTTTTTCCTTGTGTGAATTCACGGCGTCATAAATACACATATGAAGACATGCAAATAGATTATCTCAAAAAGTTAACATTAAAGTTACATCCAAATGGCTGAAATTTTGCGGGTATAGTTTGATTCCCACATTTTACTATAAAAATCAAGGAGTTTTATACCTATGATGTCAAAAAATCACTCATTCGATTTTTAAGATGACCAGCAGAATTTTCCAGAAATTACACATATTTCAACCCCCAAATCACGTCTTCTGTAAATATTTCATATTCCATATTGTTGATAAATTACGATACAACCCAGCTATATCTTACTTGAAATATTTCCATCTAAAGTTTAGTTTTTAAAAAGTTTCTCCATTAATAGTGAAAAATAGTATGAAGTCTTCACAATATACGTACAACACTGTAATCTTAAAAAAATTTATTTTTGTGCCCTCAATTAATGTAAATTATTTCTGAGCCCTCAAAGCATATATGTATATGTTAAATTTTTTTTTTTTTTTTTTAATAAATCATTCTGATGTCAATTTAAGAAAATTATAAAATATTTACCAAAAATAAGTTATGCTGTGTACAAATTTTACAGTTACACTGTTTGCTTTGATTTAACACATAGTAGTCGTGTGTAAAGTTAAAAATTTTAATTTATTTATAAGTTAAGTTATTTGTTGCAATATTGTTGACTAATGTTTAAAATATTGCTTTCAAAAGAAAATTCCAAAATTAGAAAACCAACTCTATGATGCGGCTGACGAGTATGAAAACACGACAAGAAAACCGTTTTTAATTGATGGTTACTCTATGAGAGAATACATGAATCATGCCAAGGACAATTATGATACGGAGAAAGAAAATATGAAACTTGCTAGAGTAAGAAAATAGTTGTTAATGTTTTACCATTGAAAATATGGATATAATTCTTCCTATAGTACCAAAAAAGAAAACCGCATATATATTGATGATTATTTATGTAGAAACAAGCAAAGGATCGTTCTATCAAAAAAACACCGTTGAGCACATCAAAACGTACACCTGGTGCAAGCATGTTACGAGTCACACCTGCAAGTGGAAGATTTCGTACTCCAATTAATAGGTCACGGTTTACTCCCTTGGCCAAAAGAAAACTACCTTACGATGCATCTCCTGAAGTAACTGTGAATAAAAAACGAGCTGTTGGTTCTGACAAATCCAAGACTACTGTTCTTTGCAATAAGTTAAGGCGAAGTGTTAGGGTGAGTCCAAATTGAGACATGCCGGTAATATTAACTGTTCTTAAAAATTTTAATAAAAATAGTGATGATTATTTTGCCTTCTACTAAGTTATAAAAAAAGTTCATCTAGTCATAGTTTGATTGTTATTAATTAACTTAAGTAAATATGGAATAACTTATTACAGTTTAAATAATCTTTGTAGAATATTTTGTAGTAAATAATATGTTTCCTAAATATTAGACGCCTGAAGGAAGGATTTCAAACGTTAGTGGAAAAGTGAGGAAAAGTACTTCCAAAAAGAAGAAATCAAAAAATGAAACGATCCTGTCAGTATCAGCATACGGAAGTTTTCAAGATCACTTAGAAGATCGTCCTGAACTACGAAGTTCAGTTCTCCCTACGGAAATAAAAAGCACCCAAATGAAAACACCCTCAAAACCAGCGAGAAAAAAGGTTTTGGCTCTCAGCACACCTTCAGCTCCTAATTCGATTCCTCGTTTACGATCTACACCGAGAAATCCGCAGTTACTTACCGTTCCTAAGTTTAATGCTGCTTAAAATTCATCTTCTGTTGTATCTCAAATAAACCATTTGAGATATGTATTCTTCTTGTTCTGTTGCTGTTATTTTGTATTCTCAGCACGATTAAGGTTACTCTTGTGGAATTGTAACACTAAGATTAATATACGCATACGATCAAACTATAATGTTATCAAAGCTATATGTTGTAAGAAATGATATAACTGACATTTAAAGTAAGTCTTGTTGATGCAAAATTTGTATTGTCTTCAATTTTTTGTTATCAATTAATTCTCTCATTTTTTTTTTTAATAACGCTGTGTAAGTTCATTATATTTTTTAACTTAAAATGATCATATATTTTTACGCTGTGTCTATTCGCACCTTATATATAAATCTAAGTAATTACGTGGATATATGGTGCGAATAGACACTACAATATTTTTATGCCTGAACATGGTCAGATTGCTTGTCAGTTGTCATTTATATACAAACATGTTTAAATAAAATTTACTTTATTTTGCTTTTAAATTTTATAAGTGTCTGTATATAGTAAATGTTTTTATGTTAGCGATAAATAATAAATAAATAAATTGAATGATTTATTAAACGTATGAATTACTTCAAATCTTTTGAAAACTATCCTAGTTTTAGTTGTGTGTTAACCAGGGACCGGCAAAGTCGTAGTAGTTTAAGCAAAATGGTGTGTATTTAATTCTCCCAGCTGGAAACTGTATGACATTTGATATTTAAGGAGGTTGAGTACCTTAAGCAAATGACAGTCAGTTTTAAACTAAAATTTGTGCAGAGCTTCAATAATGTATAAAACAAATGTTTGCAAAGTTTCAACAACTCTGGGTGCTTATGAAACAAGAAATTAATGAAACAAATTTAGTGAATTTTACACGCGTTCTCATGGAAAATAGTCAGAAACGACTCTTACAGCGAAAAATTTGATACAATTAACAGTCAGATTTGGACAAAACTTAAGTTAACAGTAAATTAACATCTGCCTTTTTATCATGTAAAACAGTCACGTCGATTAGGTCCTTGTAAAAATAGTTATTAATGAATAATCTGGAGGGTAAATACAACTCAATATTAAATTACGGGACGTGCGCACGAATTTCTAACCTAAAAATGGCACCAAGTCTGGCCTCTCTCTCGCAACTCCCCCCCCCCCCAAGGTATAGTCAACCTGTGGCGGCCCAGCCGAAACATCCAGCGTCATCTTCTAGATTCTAGACGCAAGCAGAAGCTCTTACCTCGAGAGCTCTCTTCTAGAGCAAGCTCAGTAGCTCACTCACTGATGCGCACGCAGCGCAAGCTGTCTCCATTTCTCTTCAACCTCAAGACAACGGGCTGCTTCAGCTGTGGCGTTGGAGAGGGTAGCGGCCGCTCTCTCGTGCTTGGGTGCTCGTGGAGCCAAGTTGGCCAGCGCGCAAGGCCTCTCCGCCGAGCTCTTTTTTTTTTTTTTTTTTTTTGATGGAGCGGGGAGGGGAAACTCTTCACAGACACCCCAGCTAATCCGGTGGTAGTGTCGGATTCACCCGGTGTGCCTACCGACTAAAAACTAACCTCCCTGCATGGGACAGGTCCGTGAGGACCACTCCCCTAGAAGACAAAAGGGCATAGGAGAAGAAAGAAGAAGGAAAATAACGGAGAATTTCGGAGGCCGACTCGCTCTCGAAGAGATGAGAGGAGGGGGCACTTACGCATCTGGGCGAAGCTCGAGTCTTGGCTTGCTCCGGAATAGAGTTAGAGAATCTTCAATTTTGTGTTATTGTATGTGTGTGTGTAGATGTGTGAGTCCGCTGGGTATTGTGAATTTGGAAGCGTACTTGTGATTAGTGTAAATGTTGTATAGGGTTGAGGCCGTAGAGGATACGGCGGATAGATGGGTGCTCCTGAGGGGAGCGTACGAGTTGAAGTCAAGTTCGTTTAGTCGAGATCATGGAGATGGAGATGATGCATCCAATGGGAGCAGGGGGGATTGAAGACCTCGAGTGTATTGAGGGTCCTCGGAGTTCTGTGCTAGAGCGCAGGGACGTCTTATAAGGTCGAAGCGACCGGGTTGGAGGTTCGCAAGTGCGGCGATGGTGGGGTTTGGGTGGTCCGTAATGGAGGTGCGGACTTTAGACGCAAGGACGGGGTCCGCTTGTATTGGAGGGACGATGTTAAACTCCTTGATTATTTGGGAAGTCCTCATGTACCACGGAATACCCAGAACCGACCTCAGTATCTTCATGAAAGGGCCCTGGATGCCCTGTAGTCGGTTTCCCTTTGCGGCGCCCCACGTTGGTATCGCGTAGGTGCTAATGCTTTTGATGATGGCGTTGAAGGTGCGCAGCTTGGTCTTCTGGAAGACTGCTTTGTTGTTAAAGAAGGGCTTTAGTTGCACGAAGGCTCCATATCCCTACTACCAAACATCATGTGAGATCTTATGTGAGAAGTTACGTGAGATCTCATGCCAAAATCTCACATGAGCTTCTCACATAACTTTCTCACACACTATTCTCACGATTACTTTTTGCATTAGTATTATTACAAACATAAGGCAATGACTTGTAGTTTTATTTTGAAAATAAATTAAATTGTTGCACGAAAAAACGCATTATTTAGTGGGAAAAAGTAGTTTTATTCTTATAAGCTGTTGAGGAGAAACACATGTTAAGTTTTTTACAAATAATAATATGTTGAGTTTTAAATAAAATGTTTTAAGGACAGAAAACAAAAATTAAAATCAAAAAGAAATTAACTGAAATTAGTAGTGCAGTACATTTGGTAAGGGGCATACAAATATTTCGTTAGATACATTTATACATATACATATTCTTTCAATATCATTAACTGGTACAAAAATGTAATTATCTTCTATGTCATCGATCTTTTTCATATGCTCATCAGACGTAATTATTTTCTTTGTTTTGACTACATGACAAATGACAAGGCTCCATCTATTGATATCGTCTACTATAAAACCCTTAATTCTGACAATCGTTCTATTCCGTAATTGAGCGAATGAATTGTTGGATCGCTTTTTCTTAATTAAATATGATTCATATAAGCATCTGTCTTTTACTATTTTAATATACAATCGTGCTTCATCAGAAAAGTTGAGACGACGGGTAATATCGTTACCTAGTTCAGCTCCAGTACCGAAATAAACTACTTGTCCCTTTAGACTAACTTCTTTAATTTTTGCAGTCAATATATCATTACAGTAATTTGAAACTGATATTGACGCATACTTAGAAACATGATTTTCTAATAGTAAAAGAGTGTGGGACATATTCACAAATCTAACAATCTGATGAGTCACACCTTTAGCACATTTAATAGATCTCAGCAAATTGTAATTTGCTGATTCAAAACTGAATGTTAAGTTCGTCCAGAGAGGACCCCAATTTAAAACTGACTCACTTATGTGTAAACACTGGTGAAAATTAAACGTCATTGCTCCATCACCGTACAAATCTCGTGATTGCATGACAAACGTATGTAAGCATTCATCAGCAAAGTTCAATTCATCAATGGAAATATTGTCTTTTAGCAAAATGTATAGACTATTGGCAAATAAAATCCAATGATCAAATTGGGCTTTTGTTAAGATAGGCCGTAGAACAACTTTACTGTAATACAATATGAAGTTTTCCCATTCTCTTGCTTTGAAATCGTTCCTCAAACTAATGGGTCGACATAATCTTTGCACTTGTTGTGGGACAGCAATATTTTTCATTATTTCATCCAACTCTTCGATTTCTTGACTGCTTCTGTTTTCTAAAAAATATGACACGAACTGTGGAGCTACGCCCTCTAAGCAGTTGTGTAAGTAATCAACGAGGAAGCCAGAGACTATATTAAATGAAGACAAATTAATCAGTGGAGACGGATATTTGATCCCAAGTGGAGTACAACTAGTGTCTTGTAACATTAAATTTACCATATTTTCATGAGTTCGTGGTTCTGGAGCCGGATGTATGTAAGGGTACTTCATACTTCCTGCCATGTACTCACCACAATGCAAACACCAATTACAGCCATACTGTCCATTGAATTGCTTAATACCCTGTATAGGAGCACGAGCAACTGAGTCGGCGCAGCATGATACTACATACAATTTGATGTCACGCTGTTCATTTTTGATTGTACAATTTATGCCATTTCTGTTCACTGAATTACAAAGTTCAACAAACTTATCTAAAAAAACCAGCATATCTGGTTTTTTCCTATTAAACCACTATCCCACTAATATCAGATTGGACATTCGTTCTTGTTTTGGTAATTCATTTAATTTAAAAAAACAAAGGCCAAATGGAACATTTAGATGACTTGTATATCGGTGCACCATCAGTATTCATCATTGCTGTAACATAACGTTGTTTTTCATTATCTGGTAATGAATCTACAAATTTTATGTACTCGTTGCTATCATACACGTCTGTGATGTACCCATTTTTGTCTTCTCGATTTCTCATGATTTTGTTATAATAGTCCTCGTGAATTTGTAATACATCAGAGATTTGCGTTGAAGGATTAATTAAAACAAAATAACTTGGATCACTGGATGAATTACGTCTACGTGATGCCTACAATTATTACATTCTGTAACATTTCTAATATGTTTGAACTCTCCAATGTAAGCACCACAGTTCTGACATACAGCATGATATTGAACTTCTGATTTAGGATTCAAAATCTTGTCGTTTATGTATTTAGAGTCAGGTAAAATTGGCGTTTTGAAAATCGTATTTATCAATTTGTATAAATTATTCATTCCTGTTGTTGACAAATGATTATTGAGAGAAAACTTCAGGACCATTAAAAAAATTTCGCCTCTACTCTTATCTACTGGAGTTGTAATTGGTTGAGAAAAATACTCATCCTGCATGAAGTCTTCTAAGCTTTTCGTACGTAAATAAGACGCGAAGTCTTTCGTCGAATTGTTATTTGTGCTTTCAATTATGTATTCAGACCAATTTCGATATACAGCAGCTTCCATTGATGGCATCTCCTGAAATTGATTATATATAATATATATTTAGAAGTTTCAGGAATAGATACAAAATTTTTAACCGAAAACGTTTAACATTACATGTCAACACACTACGGTGTTCTATTTACTAAGTCTCGGGCGAAGCCGAGACGGGGGGCTGCTATTTTACCATAAAACAAGGATTGGTTCGTTGTTCATATATACCTACGACTATTATAATTCATATTTTTATTTTATTGACCGTTTTACTTATTTTCAATTAAATAATACCGATTATGCAATATATTTTTTGTTTTTAGTCCTGATTT